TGAACTTGTAGGTAAATAAAATAGTTTTGGAGGAACATACGGCCCCCATCTTATGCCCTAAAAACCTACATTGACATATAACTTGAAACATTATAAAATGTGGATTAAACGTGTCTTGCAACGTACTACGTAAAAGATAACCATGATTAACTGAAAGAGCAAAGCCCTTGAGAAGCTAATAGTCTCTTAGACAAAAAGATATTCCCTGTCTTTTATGGAATTCGAAATTTCATTAATATGTTCGTAAGATCCCACCACTAAATTTAATTCTGAGTCAGCTGAATTTAGTCCGCACCTTCACATGCTTTTTCTAATTCATAAAGATACATTTAATACTGTCCTCCTATTCACACCTACGTCACTCAATCAGTCTTTTCGCTTCAGGTTTCCGGCTACAATTTTATATGAATTTTTCATCTTCATGATACGTGCTGCATGTCCCCTTCAGTATCATCCTCCTTTATTTCACAGTCCCCACATATAAACAAAATAACTATTGCATCTAAAACAAACAAGAACTGGTTTACCTTCGTGTAGACTTCTTGTTTACTGTATGCTTGTAAAAATATCCACTCCTATTTGAAACACGACGAAAGAAGGCACTGTTGGTTTTTCCACGTAGCTTTTTGCACTAATAATTTTAAATAACACTTACCAACAAAATAAAATCTGCATAGAAGTAGGCCTATACGCGAAGCAAACAGAATATTGCACACAACTATGTGCAATTCAATACAAATCAAACTATATTTCTAACCTTTCATTCGAGAATGAAGTACATGTTTTCTTTAGTATTTGACGCATCCATAGAACACATTTCAAACAGTTATGTCACAACAGCACAAAACACTTCCATCAACTCGACACAAAATATGTGCAGAGGTTATTCCTTACTACGAACTGTGAATGACTTCAAGAAATCACAACACAACACGAAGGAGTCCAGACTTATACACAGAAAACTTCAATTAAACATAATGAATTTTAAGTTGCATATCGAACGCACAGCGAACTCTTTTTTGTAAGGATCACATAGACCATGATGTTAGAAGTAAAAGCGTTATACAGAATTATTTTAGCGTTTCGTAGCTGCTGTTTCAAGACTTGCCACTCAGGTAGAGGGAGGCGATTACACGTAGGAGGAATTATATCTGCACAAGAGTTACTGCAACAACGATTATTCACAGACATAGTCTGTATATTTCACAAGCAAAGGAAATACAAATAATTGCATTACCTTTATCAGTAGAGTCAAAGTCAGCAATCCACACAAGAATCATTATTTTACAAATGTATGTGTTCTGTTGGATGACCATTGTTCTGAAAGTTTATGGTAACTCTGTACAACAACAACCTGCCATTACTCTCGGTGAAACCAAATCACTATACAACGAACGCTTTTATTTGTCAAAGGAATGAAAGGGACTTTCCTATTGGCTGCAGGAAGTCGTTGCTTTATGGATGAAGAACGCCTTCGCTCCCTCTACCAAACAGGTAGAAATCCCGTGCATAACATCACCTGTCGTGTTCACTAAACCGATGCATATACTACCCATTCTAAATAAGTGTATTATGCACAAACTTTTAGTCTCTTTCCACACATCTTATAATTATACGATAGGGAATCTTTGCTCGGAGATCGGCTATCTGAATTGAAAGTTCTTGAGGCTTCCCTCGGTCCCTAAAGAGACGAACTAGAATAGTGCCTTCAATATGTCACGGCTAAACGATATTTATGATGAAATTAAGAGCGAATTTAATAATAACCGTGTTTTGAGTCCAGAAGGACTGAAAAGCTACATGTCAGATCTACCTTTATCCCCTGGAGAAGCACTTCCATTACACACTGATTAGAAAGATGGGTGGATCTTGTCTACGTTTTGACAACTGTGATAAAGTAAAAAATCCCATTCTGCCTCACCGGATACCAAACTGCGAACGCCAGTGATTAGCTGATTTGCATGGTTCCTGGAAATAGCCATTATTTATTTAATTTCAATCGTGTTAGCAAATAAAGTTAAATTTGGTGTTTTTTAGTTTTTGATGACAATAGTCATCTCATAACATTTAAATTTTGGTTCAAATCTAAACAAATGTAAAATGTACCTCCCATACAAGATCAACTGGTTAAAAATATTTAGGAAAACCATCGCTGTTTATTCTGAGAATCCAACCATTCCCATGCATACACTCCAGGGGCAAAATTTTAAGTTTTATGGTGTGAGATGACGCAAAAATTCACCTACGTAGTCTAAAGTGAAATGGTATCACTGAGAAAAAGCATACATAGGTTTAAAGAATAATTTAACTAACAAATTGGCTTCTGTATTTTGTAGACCCAGCTTAAGGAATAATGGTCGTGATGGATACAAATGGTTGAATGACTGGGGTTCGTTCCCGGAGGACAGCATTTTTCTTCTCGCTGCAACATCCAGACCCGCTCTGGGGCTCACCCAGTCTGCTATCAAATTTGTATCGGAATTCTCTCCTAGGGAGTAAGTGACATTTCAATCCAAACACTGATTCCATGTAGCAAATTCCATCTTTATAACCCACAATTTTCTAAAACTTTCAATAAATTTCAGGCCTCTTATCAAATTCAAAGGACCATAACCGTGTTTAAAAAGATCTCGCCAAAGACCCTATCGCGAGCCAGCTGAGCCTCGTGACACCCTATTTCTTCATGATCCATTTCATTTTATTCCCCTATTTGAGAATATGCCTCTCAAATAATACTCTTCTCCTTATGTTTATTCCAAACATTGCTCATAGTTAATTCCACATGTTTTTATAAGTTACGACTCACTTCTAATGGCTTCGTCAAGACATGTTCAGTAAAAGCACGATCAAAACTTAAGTAATTGGAATGGATAGTACATCAACGCTGTAAGGTCTCTAAGCCAAGAAGTCGCAAATGAACCGCAGATCACTTGGCTCATTACAACTGTTCTACAGAATGACACATTCATATATTTCAACGTAAAACGCGAATCTTGCGAGGGTCACATATTTTTCTTTCGTTATACCATTGCAAGTTTAAGATTAAAAAATTTATATTTCCCACAATTTTTCTACTACATTCTTGAAATAACTAAACTTAAATAAGAGTGACACGTATGCTAATTAAACGGTGTAGCACACGAACTTTTATCTCTATTTTCACGCACGTGTCATATGTATTATATACACATTTCAGTAAGACTAAAGAAATATAACATGCTCTTAGAAGCGAACATAATACCTATTAAATAATTTTACCCACTTTTATTCTCAATTGAAACTCAAAATCAGCTCGCACATATGAATCAGATTGGTGGTCCTTTCTGGCAGGCTGATAGTTGTTCAGCTACACAAGAAACTCCCTTAAATTTTGGAACCCAATGGTTAATATCCGTGTTCACAAAAGCCCGACATTGAACCCTATTTTGAGTAACACAAATCCATTTCGTACCATCATATTCTAACAGTGTTATTTCGGGCATTATCCATTACCTGGGACATTTCCGCAGTTGGTTCTGCTCCCGTTTCTTGGATGGTTTTTATTTGCAGGATATTGGCGGCGGTTGAAATCCTACTCGTTATTAGGCTAGTATTCTAACAACAAAAGGACCAGTTGGTTCGGGTAAAGGGGAACTATCGTTTACAACAAGCAACCGTCTCTAAAAGTTTTAATATAACGAGATTTGAAGTTTTCATGGCGGTGAAGATGTCCATATTGGTCTTCTGGGTTGCAACAATTCTTATTGCCCTACATATCCGATTAAATATGTTTAAGTTTATCTAAGTTTTTAACACTCGTGGTTACCCAAGATAACATAAACCTGGCACTGAATTTAATACCGGTAATTTCCAAAGCTTTGACGTTGGTCAATTTGTACAAATAAAAACAATTAAAAATACAGGAATTTCTTTGCTTACTTAAATTGCAGTGCAGGGGCTTATCGTTAAACCAACATTCAGTTAAGCTTAGGATTTAGTGACGTTTCAGCTGTATAGGTCATATATTGTAAAATGAATTTCGATGGCGATAATGGTTTCGAAAGGAGACAATTGTGAGGAACGTCATTAGCCTGGACAGATTCCCAAAATATGGTAATTGAAGAATTCACATAGACCTACAATCAATGAAGTTTTGATTTATTACTTTAGTTCGCAAACATTTGAACTTTGTTAATTTTAAAAGAATTTTTACACACCTTCATGTAATGATTTTGTCCTGTAGTCTGGCAATGCGACAAGAAAACGTACCAGTGTTTTCTTTGACACTAGCATGTAATAGAACTGTTTTTTTTTTATAATTTTCATCCAATAAAATTAACATTATCAACACAGACCAGAAGCTGGTATGTCCCATTCAATTCTAAATTTGTTTTCTTGGACCATCCTGATGACATACTCTGAAACTAAGATAAAAAGCAATGGTAATAAATCATGTTTCAGACCACGAAATGCATAACAAATTTTTACATATATTGACCATACTATAGGTTTCCCTTAAACACGTGGCATTACTAACAGATAGGTAATGTAACCGCGGTGAAAAATATTTCTCCGAAGTTAAAAGTTCTAGTAGTCTATAGGCTGAAACTACTGCCATTCTTTTGGTAATTATTACTCCATTCAAGTAATATAAATTCCAAAAAAGGATGCTCCAAAGACATGAATTATATTTTATAATTACAAGATAATGGTACCAACTCTATGGAGCAGATGCCTTGTTGAGAAGCGGACAATCATTCAGCTGGTCAAGAAATTTCCTACCTTTTATAGAACTCAGGATCATTACCTTGTTCACAAGAAATCACCACTGGACACTAGACCTTACCCTGAGCTAGGTGAATCCAGTTCATACTCTCAAACCACATATATGATAAAAGCATAATCCCCTAAATAAAAATTATTAAAATGGGCTGCATAATTTTAAAAGATTTTCATTTTAATACACATAATATTTTTCACAGTTACACAAGGAAGGTAAGTAAAGTAAACTCACATGCATATAAAGTGTATGTACAAATTTTATTTTTATTAATATTAATTTTATACATATCACACAACCATACACACTGACGCACACACACACTGCTTCATCAGTCACCACCAAACACCATGGAGAAAATAGTTTCTTCTGTTTACAGCAGCACATACTAGATATTTAAATACAAATAAAACAAAATAAAATCGGATGTCTGAAACTCACAGGCTCCGACTAGTTGCAAATCTTGTATGACTGACTTGCCCTTGATTTTGTACATAGGATTTCTTCATAGACCTCTGACTTTGTTTCTCGTGGCATTTCCTGCCAAGAAAACTGTAATAAGCCTACTGTATGGCATATCACTATTAAAAGTGATCAATCATTTCTTTACACGCAATTTCCATTTATAACAACCAAATCTTAGAAAATATTCCACACACTGTCACAAGGAATTCTTAACAACACAATCCGTTAATGAACATCATTGTAACTGGGGCCATATACGGCGTTCATCTGATAAATCATAGCACGACCAAACCCCTCAGACCCCACGAAACATACCAATAGCTCAGTCTACTCCGTCCTCATAATCTCGTATCGAACTTTCGCTAAAGCTACATTTATTATAATTTTTATTTTGGTGTTTCTTTTTGAAATGAAAAGTTAAGAAATGAAGATGCTGAAACAACAATATTATGTCACTGAAGTATATTTAGGGATGAAAAATGTTGGAACAGAGCAATTCCATCTGAAATAGACATCTCTAATATCCTGTTCATAAACAGGTAGGAAATGAACCACAATCTCATCTTAAAGGTAAGATTTATGTATGAAGCTACCACATTACAGTTCTTACTCACTGCAAGCGCACTGAAATAAATTTTCTTGCTAAGAACAAATGATTTTATTAATTAACAGACCAATGTTAATATCAGCAAGCTGAACAGTATTCTGATGAATCACAGCGCTACATAACCGTTGATTCAGACCAGTAAAAATGATTCTGCAAGCAAGGGTAAGGTGGAATGTTTGGACAACAGTAAAAAAAACAATTCACAATTAGAATAACGAGATTAACACTGAATTTGCTACATCAATGCAAAGCACAAGAAAAAGCCAATAAAAAAAGATATTATTAAAGTTTAGACATAACCTAAAAGTAACAATACTGACAAAGACAAGTAGCTAATTGTTAGTTATAAATTCTTCTATAGAGTTCTCTGATGTTTTAAGAGACCAAAATTCATTTTAAAAACCAAGTCATGGAGTTTAAACTCCAATTACATTAAAGTGGTTTAATTTTAAAGAAAAATAGGAAAGTTGCCCGCATCTCTGTTTCAACACCGAGGCAAAACTTGCAGCATACAGGCTAATAAATGAAAATGTTTTTTCTATTATTCCATTCAATTTATATGTAACTAAGCAAATCTGTTTCTTTTAATTTCCTCCTTTAAAGTTGTTCATAAAAAATGCCCTTCTCGTGACAGTTCTCTAAAACACTCACTATGGTTTGACTCATTTACCTGCTACATCTGATTGGAAGATTCGCTTACAGCATTGGTTCACACTGACATCAGCAGTCTCTGTTCCACGTCATTCAAACACTGCTGTCCCTTATCTTCCAACATAGACACTTACAAAACTGAAACACCGCTATCAGAACAATGATCAGTTGCAGAATTTCTACATTGCAGCGCCCAATTACAATAATGCCATAAGCACAAAATATCCAGTGATCTATAGTCACATCCTGGTACAATACACAAAAGTAAACCATGTATAATTAATTACTTCAGGAGGATCTTTCTACGTGTTACTAGAATGTCATCTAGTCTCTAACCCCGTAACTTCATAACCCAGATCTGTGACTAGTTCTTTACATCACTGTTCTACATTAGAAGCATAAAATTTAAACATAAGTCAAATATGACCAAATTCCAAATTATATTTAAGTTAACATGAAACCTTCAAGTGAAAAGTCTTTGTTGCCACAGTCCTGTTCTCTGAAAATATTGTATCATGTGGCTTTAAGATACCAAGTAAATGATAACCAACAGAATCAAAGGTAAAACTAAAAAGTATTACAAGATTTGAAAGACATTTTTGAAATTACATTGCAGTATGTTGACATCTTCTGGGATACATTTCTGTGTAGACTTGTAGGTAGACACCAACACATTCATCTTCAGGGATGCAGTATTTCCTCTGAAATGCTGGCATTTATCTAACAGTCCACATGGAATTTCAACCCATAAGACCAACATCAACATCTTCAATGCTCAGAGAACCTCAAATGTCAACACTGATTATATTTTAACAATATCAAAATTTGGCACAACTGTGCAAGAAAATTTTTTCTTTAGAATAGGACAATATATTTGTTGGCTATCTACACACATACAATTTTAATTTTAATTTGTGGTGGGTTATGAAATTCATAGGACCATTCGGCCACAAGATGAAACTCCAGCAAAACATCGGAGAAGCAAAGTATGATCCTGTGAGTGATGTTCAGATCACCACCATGCAGGCAAAAATGTAAATGCACCAGCAAAAGTGACAAACTTTCACGTGCTTCAGTGTCACCCTTGAATGATTCCTGAATTGAGAAAGTTATGGTGTACAATGAGTAGCATCATAAATCTGAAAACATATATATATTTATACACACATTATTCTAAAAATATTTCAGATTACTATGGTGGAAATACTGCAGGGACTTTCCCAACATTATTGCAGTTGTTGGTGTGGTTTTAATTAAAACATTAATTTGCTGTATGTCCATCTTTCACAGCAGAAGGTGCTGTTACTTCGAATTATAAGCTTCAAGTTACATAGTTAACTGTGCTTCATCTGCAACACTGAAAACCTGGCACAACTTTAGAAATACTGGAAGCATAACCATCAGTATCAGATCACAAAGCAGTTCATCCAGAGATGACCAAACAGTGCAACAGCATCAGCAGGTAGAGGAAACGTAAGGCAAAACCAATATCACGCACACTATGAAGAGTACATCCTTTACGAATGTTACAGCCCAAACCACAGCCTTGCTCAGTGTACCTTCCCCAATTAACATGTTCTTCTACTGCAAAAACTGAAAATTCACTAGGAAGGATGAAATACGAAGCCATAATTTATCTGTTTTATTAAAACACTTCAGGATGCTTCATATAAAGACCAAATGAAAAGAAAACACACAGAATGATATGCTGTTCCATAATAGTTCAATTGGTCAGCCTTGTTTGCAAACAAAAATTCTAATCGTTTGAGACGTCCTATCAAAATCAACTGTTATAACCTGCACAATTTTATTTCCTTTATATGATCTTCTGTCTTTTTACAGTATTGCCATATTTTAGTAATATCTGATGCTACACATTGTGCTTACCTTAAACAGATTTTATTTTATAGTTACTGTCAAAAAACATCAAACCAGAGATGCTATTTCTATTAAACATAAATAATCCAGTCTTAGTTCAAGATTTCACAAATGTTGCAGAATATCCTCGCTGATCTGAAAAATAATCACATATTGTAATATTGAACTTCCTTATCACAATGTGATCTTATCAACAGGACAAGTAACTGTAAAGCTGTAGCCAGGTCACAATACTTGGACATGAGTAACAAACTCAGCAATATGGTAACTAATCACCGTGGCTTACTGAACAGTGTTTAGTTAACATTGATACTCATGCTATTGCAATTCAGTGGCAGCAGATTTTTGAGATTCCCTTAATCTCAGTTGAAGTGGAACTTAAACTGGAAAGGACTACCATGGAAGTGATGGTGAAATGGGTTAAAGCCTTGATTTCCTTGAGCTTCGGGGTCCAACGGATCTTCACCATTGTCATACTTCTCACGTTTATCTGCAAAACATACATATGCACACATCCAAATATTTCAATGCATGGAATATACTAAAAGTTTCTTATATTATTCCACATTATATAAACAAAGCTTCAAAATACACAATTGTGTTTCTTCATGAGAATATTACATCAAACTGTCTTAAAGAACTGAAAGCAAACTTAAGAATGGAGGTAACTGCAACACTGGGCAACACGGAAGTGTTCGAAGTTATTGTAATTAACTCTTATTGTCCATGTGATCCAGCTGACCGTGTGTCACAGTAGCACACCACTAAACCATTACCCATGAAACTAAAGTCTAGCTGACAGCCCCATAATAAAGTGATATAAATCCCCTATTCCAGTACATCAAGTGTTAAATACTAGAAAATACTAGCTCTTTTAAATTTTATAAGGTGCAGCATATTTAATCCACATATTTCAACTTTCTCTGGGTAAATGTCTGGTTTGACAGACCAGTTCATATCTTAAAAATTATACATCTATATACAAAGGATAAGAGAGCATCAACTGTCATATCCAAACAAGGAAATTCATAAAGCATTTGTGAACATTTCATTCAGTTGAGAAGGAATTTCAATTATCTAGTGTACAACTGGTATTTCAGATCTGTTCAACCAAATCTGTCCTCAGCGGTAGCAGATTTTAACCACAGCCTAAGTTTCAACTTTGTCCATACTTCACTATTGCTGTGATATAAGTATAAATATAGCATGACATAACATCTATGATACATTGGCTATGGCATTCATTTTGTACATCTAACATAAACCACTAGGAAAGATAATGTAGATTAATATATAAGAAACTATAATCTGCATGGGTCTCTCACCCTAACATATGAACAAAGACTGAGGATAACTGAGAACAAAGTGTTTAAAATATTCTTCAGTTTGTTAATCTTATACAGCAGTGGTATTCAACCTTTTTTGTTTGCGTACCCCCAGATATAATTTCCCTTCAACTTTGTACCCCCAAAGTTGTTAGTGTATAATTCAAGTTGTACACAGTATATAATCTACGTCTAAAATAAATTACATCCAAAATAATGTGTTAAATCTGGTCCTGATTATTCAGTGCTTATCATAAAATAATATTTTTTTAAATTTCACTTACCCCCATAAGATGTCTTCGCATACCCCCAGGGGTATACGTACCCCAGGTTGAATACCACTGATATACAGTATGCTGAAATCTTACAGGACAGGATGTGCATTTGTGCAGCTAACCTAAAATAAGGCTCACCTGGATCTGTTAATACTTCTTTGGCCGCTGCTATATCTATAAATTTTTTCTCTGCTATTTTCTTTTCATCACCTTGAAAATTATCTGGATGCCATTTCTGAGCAGCTTTCCTGTAATTAAAATTGCATCAATGGCCAACAAAGATATCAGACAGAAACAGATAACAACTGTGCGGTGGTACATAATGTTGTTCAGTTCATAAAAAAGGCAATATAAGTGTTATATGATCTATAGATTTTGCAGCAACTAAACTCAATGAAGTCTTCACGGGCAATCAGCCACATCAGGTGACATTTTGAGAGTTGTCTTGGTCATCATCATTAGGGATCTTAATGTCTGTAGAGCCCAGGCTGTCTCACATATATGTGCTACTCTAAACTCTCAATTTCACTACAAATAGAGATCACAAAATGACCCTACTATGGATAGATGATAAATATTCAGTATTCTTATTCTTACCTATAAGCCTTAATGATATCCCTCTTGTTGGCCGTTCTGGTAACACCTAGTATTTTGTAATAATCCCGCCGTTCTGCCTGCTTTTGAAGCTTTTGAGCACGCTGCTTGCCTTCCTTGGCTCGATTAAAGTTCTCGTCCAACTCTAATGCCTCCTGATAGTCATGTATAGCTAGTAAGAAGCAAAATGTCATCTGTCATCAACCTTTGACTTTGGCAGAATATCATCAGTCACCAACTATATATAAAAGCTAACAAATTAAACTATAATCATTGTAATTCAATTTTAAAACATAATGGAATCTTGGAAGGAAGAGAACAAAACTGTGTGGCCTTCTCAAGTGCTGATTCCCACTTTAGTTACTATTCTGGATATGCATATGCATGTGTATATATATATATATATAAAAGCAAAGCTGTCTCGCTATATGCCATGTAGGCACTTGGGGCAAAAGGAGACACAGTTCCTATTAATTTTTAACCTTGGCACTAGATAAGGGTAAGAGGTCAGCATCATGCCCTGGCTGTGATTTATCCTCAGTAAAGGACCCTGATACCCATTGGATAGGAAGCTAGGTGGGCCCCATAGCCGATATGGATGCAGAGGTGAGAGGAAAAATCCTCTGCCTCTGTCATGGATCAAATCCCAATGATCCAGTCCATAGCAGTCACTATAATGACTAAGCTACCTGGCTCCCTTACTATTCCTGGTTGCAGATCAAAAATATAATACTGTGGCATGAGGTGGAAAATGCTAGAATCTGTTTCATAGAAGAAAATGAAACTAATATTGACAAAAGCTGTAACATTGGTGATGGTGTTGGCATATAAATAAACAAAGCTATAAGATGTATGTAAATGGATTCTTAATGCCTCACAAACAATTTATCCTGGATTCATGACAAGACATTCAAAATTCACAGGTCTCTTGATGTAATGGACAGAACTGAAGGTAATGGTACCACTTGTGGTAACAAACACTATTTACTCACTAGACACCTAAATACATACCATCATCAAACATTTCACTATTTATATAGGCCTCCGCTCTGTCACAGTACACTCTCGGGTCTTTATTGATCTCAAGAGCCTCTCGACAGCTCTGAAGACTTAGTGTCAACTGATCACTATGTAGATAACAGTGACACAACTTCTCTTTTGCCAAGAAGATTATCATCTTCACTGATGTTTCCAATTTCAGCACCTGTAACAGCAAAGTTATTCATATCTATCTGATGTAACAGTAACAAACACTGTGAGATTTTATAGTCTTCACCTCTCCCTTTAACTCAAAGAATTTCTGAATAATAGGCAGAGGATAACATATAACAGCAGAGTAGAAGTACAAGGGGAAAGATTAAAAAAGGCTGGCTTGCAAGTACCTGTGAAGATGACTGTTTTCAATAAATTCAGCATAAAAAGAAATGCGCTAAGATACGAGATGTATTCTGTATACTCACTCCGTGATTTAGAACATCAATCTGTGCAGGTAAAAAATATGACTAAAGCCCACTTACGCCAACACAGAAGAATCAGAAAGATACATACATTGTTCTCACCTTGTTTGCATTATCAATACAATCTTGATAGTCTTTACTGTTTATGTCTTCCTGAGCATCGCTGATAAGCTTATCCACCTTCTTTACAATCTTATAATGGGGGAAACAATCTTCATGCTCTGGGTCCAACCTCAGACATTCCCGAACTTCCCTACAAACATATACATAAAGCATTTAAAAGTATGTCATATTACGTCATTACAAGTGCTACAGTCAGGCCACAGCTTATGCCTTCCTTCATGCATCAGCAGTGCCCTGCACTACTGTTGCATGCTTTCAGAAATGTGAATCTTCATGCAGAAGGGAGATATGAACATAATACATAATGGAAAATTCACATAAAATTAAACAAAAGCTGAGGAACAGCCCAAAACAGTACATTATACTAATGATACAAGCACTACAGCAAGAAATAAGTAAGTTCTAGTAGCATCTACAACATCAGCGAAATAAATCGTATGAATACATCACCCTTCAATTCTCAATGTCACACAAAATAATTACTTACAGAATTATGAGATTAAACAATTTCCTGACAAAACTAAACCTTTAAGTGCTCTTATACCTGACAATTTCTATCAGAATCATCAAAACTTGCAATGACTGATAAAAAATACTGTGGAAAGTAGTGTGAAATATTGAATTATACAATAAGCTAAGGAAATAATAAATTTAGGGACTGTGAGTATAATAACAAAATTCCTGGAAATGATAGCCACTGGACAGGAATGGTTTATAATGCTACAGACCAAATTGCATGCAGTAACACACTGCTCCCAGAGTGCCCTGACAAGTGTAGCATGAAAGCACTAGACATTTTTAGTCATTACCACTACGAGGAAATCCTATTTATTCTAATGAATGGACATTACAGTTGAATGGTTAGCACTCCTGCTTTGTATTTTGAAGGTTCCAGCTTTGAAACTTAGCTTACAGGTATTTTATGGTTTTCTTTAATCTCTCCAGGCAAATGCTACAATAGTACCCTAAAACAGGCCATGAACACTTCCTTCCGTACTCCAAATTCATCATTCTCAAATTGTCGTATCATTCAATGCTATATAATCAGCAAAGTTAAAAAAGCACTGTTAAATAAATGATCATACAGTGAATACATACTTCAGTGATTCACTAGGTTCTCCACGCTGATAGTACAGAGTAGCAAGCTTAAAGAAACCTGCAGTGTTGTCCGACTGCAGTTTGGTTGTAGACCGTATGTCAGATATGGCAGACATTGTGTCTCCCACAGCTACATGGCAGTCTGCACGTAATTCACGCAGAGCAGATGACCAGGGACATACCTACAGCATCACATAAACAAAAATATTATAATAGCTGTATATGAAATTTCTCATGTGACATTGTCACATTATTTAATCTTAGTTTAAAACTGAATAATTTAGAGTAAACTGACTATCTCACTAAAATTCTGAACTGAAACTTAATACTCTTAAAATTTATTATGCATCAGGTCAAAGCCATTCCATATGAAATCACAAATGTGTTGCAGTTGAGTAATTATTTTGATTTATTTTTTCCTATGTCATGCGTGAAACTCTTAAAACAAAATCGGGGAGTTGTACTTTTGACCCCTACTGATTCAAAGGTCACTGAAACCACTGAAATTGGCATATATAAGGTACTTCATTACTATAAGCACTGGTCCTTATATAAGTATATATGACAATTTTGCATGTGTGTTCTCAAGAACATGTGTCCTCATGCAACAGCATGGAGACTCAGTTCTTGCTTCATTTGTTTTCTGTAACTGACCTCTATAATCTTTGTAATTAAGTCAATGGCTGCTTTGTAATCTCTTCCTCGGACCAAAGATTTGGCCACAGAAATATCTTCTCTTGTTGGTTCCACTTTGTTAAGACCATGCTGAGCATCTTCATTATATGGATCGTCCTCCAGCTGGAAAAAAATAATAATAAATAGTACAGGGAAGTGTAGATCAATAATCTGCCAGTTTTATTAAAGCTTTTATAATCATCCTTAGAAACCATACACGTTATTTTCAATTTATATGCAACAGTACTTCAGAAATATATAACTGGCATGGATGAGACTACATTTCCTGAAAACCCAAACTGCTGCTGTCAGGCTCCAACAATATGAAATGATTAAGCCATCCAATAATGTGTCATTTGGTCACATTATGAAACTGTACCATTTTAAGGGCTGATAACAGAAAAAATAGGAATAACAATTTTATAAATCAATCACATTCATTCCAATAAATAAAATATTGGACCATCTGCACCAAGTTCAATTTCAGAAAACTCAGAGAATTTAAAAAGCTTTAAATTTAAGACTGGTTTGAGTAGGATTGCAGGCCAGTGCCAGTTCACAAACCACGTATGTAAATTTTAAATAACAATGAATGTTGATGCAGAAGCCAATAACAAACTCTTACCACTTTCTTGAAATCTGCCTTTGCCTCATTCAATTGTGCTTGCTTCAGATGAACAATTCCTCTTTGTAATCTTGCCTGAAAACAAACATTTTGGTTAATGAACTAAAGCAGCCTGTACCTTTACCTAATTCCAAAGAACCTGTTTCAAGAAAATTAAACTGTTTATTATTAATAATTGTACAAAAATATTAATATATTACAAACCATCAATTTTTTTTAAAATTCCTGTACACTATTTTAAGCAGCCACATGGATTTTAAAATGACTGATAATTATGCACAACAATCTGAAATAATCCCAGCACTAGACTAAATAGCATATGCTTGACAATAAACCAGAAGCGAAAGAATGGATACAGAGTTAACACCATACACACAATTCAAATACTACCATAGTTAAACTGGCCATATATGTGGTTATAGTACTCATAATTAGCAAACAGATCATTTTATGCATTAAATCCTATATAACTGGCTGCCTTATGATGAAACCACTGTGGACACAGATCACGTTATGCAGTAAACTGTATATAGTCTTTAGCAACCACCATAGAGGATAAAAGGTAAATTGAGGATAAAAGAAAGTTATAATACATCTACACACTGAAAAACTATATGTTAATTCAAATAGTAGCTACAACTTTCTAGTTCTTTGGCAATATTAGTATAAACACAGAATCAAACATACAGGAAAGAGTAATAACACTTCCTTGTTATATTCAGTGTCCATAGTACACTGGTCCACCACCACAATAGACACAATGTAGTTGACTGAATTATCATAATTAAATAAATAACATAAAAAATTAATTAACTTTCACTCAAGTGCCAATATCAGTGCTACTGAAAATACTCACTGAGCTGAAGTCAGGTTTCAACTGCAGAACTTTGTCCAGATCCATGAGAGCAAATTTGGACTTGCCTAATGCCAGATAGACTGTTCCTCGTTTGAAGTAAGTCAGATAGTTATTTGGATCACCCTCTTGAAAAATTAAACAAATAGTGAAACTTAAATAAAAATTCTGAAATAATACAAATGTGGCAATGTTATGTATCAACTAATTTCAAGTGTAAATGGAACATAGTGCAAACACATAATTAACACTTGAAAGATGAATGGTAGCTATATGTACCAAGTGCTTTTACAATCAACTCTGCATTTTGTATCTATTGGTTTCAAACAATTCTCAGTGTAAACTGTGATTATTTCCTTAAACAGCATCTATCAGCAGTATGGAATTAATCATTAAATATTATTTTGATGAGCTTTAGATTTATTAGGCTAACAATGGTTACTTAGCATAGACATTAGTCAATAATTGAATTGAAAATAAATGTATTCTGACAGAATAACCTAAAGAAAAAAACACATTTTATAGAAATCAGATATACTCTAAACTGTAGACTGGTGTACTCTTTGAAAAACACTTAAATTCCAAGTATGTTCTTTATGCCTCATCACAGATCATAACTTCAGCATAAAAACCAAGGGAATAATAAATGCAACAAAAGTATCCAAGATCACTGTTGTGACAGCATGCTTCAAGGTCACTGCTGTAACACTGTGATGGTCAATGAGACAGACAAAACATGGATGGGTCCATAAGATATTCTTCACTTATACTAAACTGTAAAGAACACTTAAAACAGTATGATGGCTCCACCAGTTTGTACTACATGTGTTTCATTAAACTTGGCCAGTTCATAAGCACACATGACCCAAATTCTTAAATCACTATATCACAACACTCTTATACATCATCATACATGTAAATGTACCCAGTAAGTCCTGCAGTCAAATTCAAATGACCATTTCCATCCATATATTTTCTAATTAATTATTCATTAATCAGCCAATCATGCAACACTGAGCTATGAAGTGTTGCTAAATAAACCATAAATAAATACCAGTATAAATTAATGTAAACCCTTTCTTTCAGTAAACTCTTTCTTTAGTGCATATGGTGCACGAATAAATTTAGTAATATTATATTCTTATCAATTACAATTATGTAGCATGACTTCATACCAGATTTTGCAAAAGTGTTTTTGTTAATCGCACATATATACTGTTTACCAACACTATCAGACTCACCTACAGCTGCATGGTAATGTGACAATGCATCCTGTAACTGCCCTCGACTTAATAAGTCTCTCCCCATCTCTAAATGTTTATCTACTTCACTTTGTGATGTAGTGCCACAAACTATAACAAAAAAGGAAAGTACATAACTTAAAACAGAAAACTCTACCATCATTTACGCAAACTACTTCAAAGTTGCTCAAAAGTTGTAATATCTGAATGAATGATGGGAAAACCTAAACCTAATGTGGCAAGAGAGCGTTAGCGGCTTCCAATATGATAAATCAACCAACAGTTTATATGAACGCTGCTCAAACTTTCGTTTGAAATAACTGGTACATAATTTACCGAATATTTTAATGTACAATAATACTTTGTGTCTAAAAGCTACATTAAAGGTTAGAAACCAAACATACCATCATATGTCAAATCTAGAACTAAAAGAAACACCCAAGCGGAACATATTCGCCATGAAGAAGATTGCCAGCAGTCCATTATTACGCTCCAACTATTTAATGGAGGAAACTGTATTGCAATAACCTACAATATCAATGCTAACACTTAAATTCTCATATTTCACGAAGTTCCGATTCTAATCAGTGGTTGACACCACCTCCATGGCGACATGATATTCGTGGTCTATTGTGATTGGTTGTTGAAAGCATGGCCCACCGTCCTTCCCCACAGCAACATTGGACAGAAAAGTTGATAGCATGAGTAGAGACATCACTGTATCATCTTCAGAAACAGCAGATCATCTGTAATCGAGCTAGTAATAACACGACGGCTATGGAGTTGTGGTGGCGGCGTTCCGTTGGTAAAAACGTTACCTGTTATTGCAACACGTGGTAAATTTTCATTATTCTGGCTTTGCATAGGAACTTATTCCGTCATTGGGGGCAAAAGCGAACTTGTTTGTTTGGTGTCACTTTTTATCAGGTGGAGGAAGCCGGTACCTCCATCTAAAGCTAGAAAATGAAAAAAATCCATGCACATCAATCTACAACAATCTGTAAGATTCAAGAAAGAGTTCTGAGTGACTGTGACCCTAAAAATGTGAATATGGATCACTATTGAACTCCTATAGAATACACGTGGACACGTTTGTCCTGGATTGTTGTTTATGATAATTGTTTTAAGTGTGTGTTATGTCACACACTCAGGGTAAAACAGGCATAGAAGCTTACCCACACTCACATTTATTCTGTACAGATATTTGTTGTGTGACTTTTTGGCTGTTCATTTGGAATTATATTCCCATTGAGATTATTTTAAAATTATATATGAAAAAAGTAAAGCTGTCCCACTATATGCCATGTAGGAGCTCGGTGGGAGAGAAGGTATAGCTCCTTCTCATTTTTAATCTCAACACTAGGTGGTGAGTGATAAGCATCATGCAGCACTTTACCCCTGGGAAAGGACTCCAGTACCCATTGGATAGGAGGCTGGGTGGGCCCCAGATTCAGTCTGATGTAGAGGCTACAGGAAAAATCCTTTGCCCGTCATAGATCAAACCTCGGTCATCCAGCCCATAACCAGTCACTATATTGACTGAGCTACCCCAGCTCAAAATGACATGATTATTTCTTTTTCCAGAAATTCCATCAACATTTAGTTTCAGAGCAGTAATATTTCTGGATGTCATTTGTGTTCTCATTATGTACCAAAATATCCATAACCGTTTTCAGATACTTCACACTTTAGCTGTATCCTGAGGATTAAGTTTTCTTTTATTTATCTGAAAAGTAAAGTTCAGTTTTAGTCTCCTTACTGGTTAAGGGAAGTGTATCGGCAGAAGTATACTATCTAGATAGTATTATATATTTATGTAATTTCTTGTTGATTGTGGTCTTCTGATTAGTGGTATTATGTAGTCTCATAGGATCTTGCCAACATTCCTCCAAAATTCTAGTAACCACTTACAGATTATACAACACAGCCCAGAAGACCACAATTGACACCTTCGCCACTGTGAGAACCTCATATCTCATGTAATTTCTAATTACTCTTCATTTCAAGATGTATTATTTATTTTCAATTGCTTTAAGGTTACTGTTTACTGAAAGGTTTATTTTCTTCAGTATATAAATTATTTCATCTTCTGAAGTAACATGAAGGTTTTCTGAATGTTGAAAGAAGTTAACGTAGAAGTATGAATAAACTGACATATACAAACATAAAAACCAACACCTTTTTTTATTACATAACAATTACAATTTGCAGAGAGGAAATACTTTACAATGTATATAGTATACAAAAATTGTACTGCATTTAAAATGACATCTCGGGTATTAAGTCACAATGTGTATCATGTGTATAGTCAAAATCCTGTACAAAGCAGCAAGTAAACTTCTGATACATCTCTTGTCAACTGCTGTTATAGTTTGAATGTTAATGTCATTGTAGCTGTCATAAATGTGATGCAGCATCAACTAATATAAACAGAGTATCCAGTAAGTACCACATATTCGACAGCTTTAAAACAAATTAATACAGACACTAGCTTAAATACTGCTTTACAAATTTGATACACATAATAGCTCTTTACTAAGATGTAATTTAATGTATTTAAGTAAAATCTTGAAATCTGATTTATGGAACAAATGGTACCCAATTTGTAAACAAATGTTATTCACTGGTTTCCCATATCAACTTTCAGTGTATTAAATCAGGGTTCAGTATCTTCAAATATTAATTTTTAAGACCAGAATCCTCCTGACACATATCAAGCAAAATTGTATATGATACTCCTTCACACATTTTAATCATAAATGGGGGAAGAAGAAGAAAAAAGTGTGCTCTTATATGGGTCCTTCACATGAAAATGTAATAAGGATCAATAAAGCAGGGAGGGTATATTAAGGAAAAAATCCATCTGGTGTAATTTAACTTGTTAAAATCTTAGATGGAAAAGTAACCATACAATGATTGTAAAAATTGTACTAAAACAAATCTAGAAAGATCAGAATGGTTTAAAGCATGTAGTGGAATGAAACAAGGAAGTATTTTATAATACCATGATGAAAGAAATTTTTAATAAACTTTGAAGAGAAAAGACCAGACATGAACAAATCAGTATTTGCAGATGACATGTTACTTTAGAGGAAAGACAAAAAGGAAATTTAATAGAAATGAATCAATGGAACCTCATCATAAAGGAATATGGACTGAAAATTAATGTCACAATGCTTAAAGAGCAGCCAAATTTATTTATCTGAGAAGTTGAAATTCAGAATGGAAAATTTGTAAAAGTATGATACAATCCCAAATTCTTTCAATTTATAAGAAAAATTACAGAACAAGGAAAACCAGCAACAATTTACAAAGTATGTTTTAAAATGATTCTAACATTTAACACCAAGACAAGGATCCACACAAAGGGAAACAAAAACAAAATCCAAGCAATGAATTGATATATTTTTTAAAGTTCTGAGAGAAAAGACAAGCTGGAATCCAACATTTGCTAATTC